TTCAGGGATCTTCCTTGCTACTAGGGCTTGTACGATATCTTTCCAGTTGGCAGAATTAAAGGCATTTTTTATGTCAATCGCAACCAAGGCACAAAAACTCTTATTCCTTTTTGATGTTTCTGCATGGTGGACTGCTTCTGAGATCGCGTCTATGGTCGAGAGTCCCTTTCTAAATCCAAACTGCCTCGTTGAAAATTGGGCATGTCTCTTTAGTCGTAGAAGGAGCAAACCCTCCAGTAATTTCCTCATCGCATCCAGCAGGCACAAAGGTCTGAACGATGACGTCCGATCGATTGGCTTGTTCCTTTTCCGCATGAGAATTAGCTTCTGATGTTTCCAACCCTTATAGAGTTTCCCTTGTTCAAGACACTGGTTAAAGGCTTTCAAAAGTCATTCTGGGTATTTTTGTACAACTATCCCCAGGATCGCGTTCGGAATTCCGTCAAGTCCCGGTGCAGTTCCAATCTTGGTCTTCTTCATCATCTGGACTAGTTCGTCTTCGTGAAGCGGTTGAAGAGGTAGTCAGAAGGTCTGCTCCTTACCCAGCATTCTCTGCTAGGAAAAAAGTCTTGGATAGTTGCCTTCACCCATTCGGGGTCTTCTAGCCCCGCGATTGTTGAAGGTTTAAATTTGCCCACAACAATCTTGTAGGCTTTTCCTGAGAGGCCGTTGTTCACATTGTTTAATAGGGCATTCCAGCATTTTGTTTTGCTTCTTTTAATTTCCTATTTTAGTTTTTTGCGGGCCGTCTGGTAATTTTCCCTCAGCAGAATGTCTGTTTTAGCTCTTGTTGCAAGTCTTCTAGCTTTAGCACATGTTTGACGAACCTCCGCAATAGTCGCTGTCCACCAATACACCAGATTTTTCCTTTGGGTTCCTACGTCTAGGCATTGAGATGTCACACGTATTTTTAACGGTTTCGCACGTTTCCCGTACTATCTCTTCGAGGGATTCTGCACTTTTCCTATTACTCCACCCCATGGACTCCAGTAATTTAGCTTCAAGGATTTTTATGGCATCAGCTTCTCTTAGCTTTTTGGTGTTCCAAGATGGCCCGATGTTTGGCTAATTCCTTCTTCTACCTCTGTTTCCAGCGGATGAAGTGGAGAATTCAGTGTAGCGGTGATCGCTAAGTGTTTCAGCGTCGGGAACCTGCCAAATACAGGACAATCTTGGCAATCCTTGTGGTTCCTATTGTTAAGTATATTATCGAAGAAGCTGTGCCCTTTTGAAATGCACATGAGCTCCCTGTGTGTAGGACTACCAGGACCTTCCTAGCCAGGAATTCGCAAACAATATCGCCTCTGCAATCAGTTCTGCTTTCGTCCCATTCCGGGGACTTGCTGTTAAAGTCTCCAGTCAATATTATTTCACCTGGGGCTGAGTTCATGCTTGCCTCCAGTTCATTGATTTGCTTCTTAAATTTCTCTATACGGTCGTTTGGGGAGAAATAGCAACTAGAGGGATATGTTGTCAATATCGTGCTGCTCACTGACCAGTAAGACATCCAGCTGTCTTTCCCTTGCCGTTTGAATGAGAAGATCTTGGGAGGTCTTTCCTTTGTCTAAATTAATTTGATGGAACCTAGTCATTCTTTGTTTTACCAAGTTTCCTTAGTTCTGCAGTGAGGGAAGGGCATTTATAGCTACCCAGCTTATGATTGTCTTCTAGGTTTTGGTCATTGTAGACAATACATTGAACTGGCCGTTTGCAATCCTTGGCCAAGTGTCCCTTTTTGCCACATTTCTAGCATACTTCACTTCTGTCGGGGCCCTTGCAAGAGGTGGAGATGCCTAGACATTTAAAGCATCTGCTGACCTGGTGCTTCATCCTAACGAGGCAAGTACGCTAGCCAATCTCAAAATTCTCTGCTTTGAGTAGAATTTCTGCCTGGCGCGAAGGTAGCAGTGCAGTCGCTACCTGTCTGCCTACGTACACCTTGTATAGTCTCCAGGTCGCCGGGGGAAGTCCCCTGTAATGCGTGTGACAACATCTCTTACCTCATCTAGGGTAACAGACTCATCGATTAATTCAATAAAGACTCATTCCTTGATTCAATTAAGGTTTTTGGGTTAAACGAATTGATGTTTACCCTGTCTTCTATTGCACGGGTGATTGCTTCGTTTAGGGAAGTGGGGTCACAATCTTTCTCCAGAACTATCAGGAGTTCATATTTACGTGTCCTCCTGATCGTCTGGATATTAGCGTTGTGTTGTTTCGGGTCAACCGCTTCCTTCATTATTATTAATATTTCGGCATACGATTGCCCTTCGTTGGCTGTCAGTTTGATGGCCTGGTTGTTGGGCCTTCTGTTCCTTGCCTTGGGGGTTTGATTCTTCGCCGTCGCTTTTTCTTCGCCGTCTTTCGGTGTTCCACTTTCTGCCATTTCTCATGGGGGTTTTGGTTTGGTTTTTCAGTAACCAGTATCCAGTATTCAGTTTTTCAGTAACCATATTCCATGATTTCATCCTGCTTGTCTTTCTTGTCTGGACTCTTGTCTTGAAGTGGGCTTGGAGCTTGTCTCTTGTTCTTCTAGGACTGTGCCGTTTTCACCGACTTCTTGTTTATCTGTTTGCCTAGTTTGGAATTATCTGCCTTTTTGTCATTCTCTAGGAGGATTATTTTCTCATACATCCTCTTTTGATCTTCTTTAATGTTTCCCCACCTATTCTTTAGTGCATCCACATCTTCTAGAGCTATATCCAAGGTGTCCTTCACATTGCAGTCGCTGGTTGACGACCGCCGGGGGCCTGCTTGCCCACCCCCGGCTGCCGGTACTGGGGCTCCGATCCCGTACACCGTAACAGTTGATCCTGAGGGACCTTCCACCGCGGGTTTCTTTTCGGGGTCACCTTCCCCTCGCGTTCTGGATTTGGTCCACGGGTGGTATTTTATTTCCCACCTCCCCGCCGGCGTGGCCGGTAAGAGCATTCCCCGATCCGCCACCTGGAGACCAGACTTCTCCCACGGAATTATTATTATTATTATTATTATTATTATTATTATTATTATTATTATTATTATTACTTTTACTATTATTATCATTGTTTTAATTATTGTTTTGTTTATTCACAAATGTTTAGTCTCGCGCAGATACCACGCAGATACAATATCTAGTTCTTTGTATTTGTCAATTTTAGCCTGGTATGCTGTCATCATGTTACTGGTTATGATGACTGCAAAATCAAGTAACCTCACTTCCTTGACTCATTTGTCCCAAAAGGTAATATCAGGGTCTGTTGTGCTGAATTGTCCTCTTGGTCATAATAAGGCGGTCCAGGCGTAACGTATGTTTCATTTTCAAGTACAGCTTCTGAATGATTCTGATAGTATGGTGTATCAACTTCGTGAGAGAGCCTGTATTTCTTGACAAGTTTGGTGTGGGTGATGCGGTCTACTTGATCGTGCTTCAATTTATAGTCAGTGGAAATTAAACAATTACAGTCTAAGATAACATGCCGAATGGTATCATGATCTCGACATTCTTCAGTTAGTACTCATGGATCTTTGATGACATATTTTAGGCAGTTTTGGGACTTACCTGATCTTGGATCACAGTATATACTGTGCTTGGATTTCTATTATGAAACCTTCGCTCTCAGGTCACAAAGATCCTACACTGAGCCATTTGCACGACATTTCTTCGTCGACATTTGTATTGGGTACTACATCAGGATATGCACCATGGAGTGCATTCTGTTTCCAGGAATCGATCTCTTGGTGCAAAGAGTACTATTGAGCTTGCATACCTTGTGTGAGATTGAGGGGCGTATGTCATCTGCCTGTACAATTACCATGTGAATTTGAGAAGTAACAATGCTTTCTCCGCAAAGTTCTTCCTCACAGTTCCTCCTGCAAAGTTCATCCTCATTACTCCTCCTTATCTGTTTGGCATGGAGATTCATGAACTTTACAATACCACACTTTCCCATCTGCTTCGGCAGTGAGACTATGTGAATCGCACTTTTGGGATGGTGGCACCCGAATTTTGTCATTTGAACTCTTACAAGTTATTCCAATTCTTTTAGAGCGGTTGTGGACCATTTAAGAATACCCATCGAGAAGGTGATAAGAAGTAAAGCATACGAGTTGATGTCAGCTGTGAGGTTTCGAGAGTTGAGAGTTTTTAATACTGCCTTGATTCGGTTGGCAAGCTCAGTTTTCAGCATTACCTTCAATTGGTGATATGCAATCATATTTCCTTGTTGTATACCAAGGTATTTGTAGAACTCATTATCTTCCAGATTGGTGATGGTTTCTCCACTAACAGTCTAGCAATTGAGTTCACTAGTCAGTTTACCCTTCTGAATTTGTTGTATTTTGCATTTATTAATGCCTCGTTGCATATTTATGTCCCTGGAGAAATCTTCAGTGGCTTTTATCTGAATGTTTAGGCCGCACATCATACGAGGTGTATTGTAGCTGTTGTTGTTATTGTTGTTGTTATTATTATTATTATTATTATTATTATTATTATTATTATTATTATTATTGTTGTTGTTGTTGTTGTTATTGTCGTTGTTGTTATTATTATTGTTATTGTTATTATTATTATTATTATTATTATTTATGTTATTATCATCAATATCACCTTTTGTCCCTCCACTGCATGGAAGGACTCTCAAGCAGCTCCAAATGGAATCTAATCTATGCACATCTGGTTTTGAGAAACTACACTATTGTTGGTGTGTTTATGGATCATGTACATCTCAAGTCACTAACACTGAGGATAAGAACAGAAAGGATCAAGGAAAGTATTTGCATATGTACAAAGTCTTTAATGAATACTTTTCATACCTCTTACTTTCTTAGACTGCAATAAATAACCTATTTATTTTAATGTACTCCATAACTTAATGAAGTCACTTATGAATAGTGCATTATCTTCTGGAAGGTTTTTAGTTTGGTATCCTACTCTCTTAAATATTTGAGTTTATATGAAATATTAATATTATTTACAGACAATTTTATTACATGAGATTTACATTTTTTCTCTACAGAATGTGTTAAAAGTATGACTGAAATGATTTACATAATGCTGGAAGAAGAAAGTGTTGACAGAACACTAGAAAATTTCAATTTTAATACTGCATATCAAGCAACAACTCTCTTTAAACAGGTGAGTTTGTAAACCATTTTCAGTATCGTACTTCTGTGTTCTCTCAATCTCAGTTCTGAGTTTTTGAGGGCACACTCAGTGATGCATACTCTTTAACATTTTGAATGCACAGAAGATTAAAATACATTCAAGGTGGAAGGTACTTGTTTCATCTTAATTGTACATATGGTCCTTGTCCATTCAGTAAATGTGGACCAACCTGAATGTTGGTGTTAAGAGATGGTGGAAAGTGACAAAACATGACTTTTTAGTAGCAAAAAAAATTTTTTAAAATTCAGTTTGTTCGTTGATTTTTATACAAGGAATTGCATCAAACTAAACCATTCTTACCTGACTACTTACATATTAAGCCTATGTAAATAATATTGTGCTAAACAGCATTTACATGAATATTTACAGTAAATTTGAATTAAGGGAAAGTGTTAAACTCACATATGAATTTCCTCTGAAATGTGTTAGATCGGTGTTATTACAAAAAAAAATTTCAAACAATAATAAACAAAATAATAAATGAATAATACAAATAATAACTAAAACTGGTGTTTAACATAAACAGTATGAAGGATGACATTTTTGAGGAAGTTAGTCCAACATTGATACAAGATATTTCATCTTTTCAGTAGTGGTACTGTTTCTACTTTTCATGACAGGTATTTCAACTTTCTGTTTGCTATAAGATAACATCTCTCATCATCTATCCTTTTTTCATAATAAGAAATTCTTTCCAATGTTTCATACGACTTAATGTGGTTTTCATTAAAAAAATTTCAAGGATTCCTAGCATCTATTTGATTACAGGAGGCTTTTGCATTGTTCGTTTTGTTTATTGAAATTAAAGTGTCTGCAATAGATTGCAATTCCAGAAAATTATTTGCATCCATGTTAACAATTCTTTTTTTTGCTGATGCCAAAATAATGTGGCAGTTGACATGTTTCAAGAGGCCATCCCTGTTGGAGTAAATCCCTGCTGATGTAAATACGTTTGAACTCAAAGAAAATGGACAGGAACATTGCACTTTGAGGGAAAATTGGATAAAAATCTCCTTTTTAGATACATTGATATTTAACACCTTTGAGAATTCCCATTCTCATTTAAATCAGAATGTTCCTCACTCTATCATTTTACATGGGTGTGCTGCCCCATGTATTTATGTACATAAGCTCTCTGTGATACAGCATGGGTGTTAGTGACAAGAGTTTAAACTTGTAAACTTTGTGGTTTTTGTCATGTAACTAGGGTGTCAGGTTATTAGAGTTTGAATGAAAAGACACAATAAAGGTTGCTTAAACAGTTGCTTAAAATATTAATTGCTGGAAATGTGTTCTGTACATTACAGAAACGACTTGTTATGTAAAACAAAATATTGATTTTAGCCTAAGCATGCTGTGTTGACAATGTGATAGTCCAACTAGAGAAAAAATGATCAATTTGTGTGCTTCCCACTGGAAATTATCTAAGAAAATAGCAGTGTATGTAGTCTACCTTTCCTTCTCCCCCCCTAATTTGTGTAAACTCTTTTAATTCTCTTTCTGTACTATTGTTGGGTAATAACTCAGTACCTGAGTGGTAACTTTAAATTTTATTATATAAAAATAGTAGGGAGTTTTCCATTAATGATAATGCAACAGATCTGAAAGTCTGCTACTTACAAAAGAAAAATATTTTAGTTGCAAACATGTTTGGATTAGGTTGTTTATGCACTAGCAGTTGCTGAAGAAAATTGTGAATTTGAACATCGAAACCTTGTCAGGGAAAACATTGGTATAAAACTCACCAACTGTAAAACATTTTGCTACTCGTTGCATTCACATCAGTACGAAGTTCGTACAGCAGGACTTGAGGTACGTAATTAATATTATTTTTTCACATAAATACATTGTATTTTGAGATTTCATTAACTTGTAAATTGATTACAGGTAGTTATAATGGATTTTAATTGTTCTCGAATGACATACGGGCATTGGAGTTCACAAGCAATAGTGTATCGAAATTTGGATAATTTTGTAAATCAGGTCTCTAAAGAAACCGATGGACGAAATGATGTTTATTGTAACATGAAAAATTATGTTGGGTAAGTTTCTAGCCTTGAATTTAGAGACCACCAATTATTGTCAAACTAAATTATTAAATTAATTAATACTGTGTATTTTATTCATATGCCAAACTAATGCTTGAGCTATATTGTATTTTCTGGTAAAAATATTTTGAAAGTACTGAGTGTTTAAAAAAATGTTCAAAAAGAAAAGGTTAAAAAACTTCTCAGGTGTTACTTATTAGTTTAATATCAAAGTGATGTTATATTTTTGTTGGATTTGGTTACAAAAATCTGTATAATACAATTCTAGCATATCGTCAATAGGCGCCATTGACATTTCCCTGAAAATAAAAACTTCCTTGAAGCATATGCCAAAAGTTAAATTTTATTTAAAGTTCATGCCCCCCTTCGTAAACTTCAATCACAAACTCCAGTGTATCTTATAACAACCTTGGTAAAATTACACAAGGTCATTGCGTAATTTAATTATCTTAAATAACCAATAACTGTATGGAAATAATTTTGAAAGACTTACTTAGGTTGCTTCTTCCGTAAGTGTAGTGTGTTTTATACCTCGGGAGGTGCAGGTGTATCTCCCAACTGGAGACGCGAAATCTCTGTCAACCACACGTCGCCGGCTTGTAGGATTTCCCTATCCTGGTATCTCCCCCAACTTGGTCCCTCTTGTAAATTATAGACAACCTACAACAATATTGTTAAATTTGATAAGCAAATTTAACGACAAAATTAATGTACGGTCGTGTATGTTTGAATGTGATTTGAAAACTAATTTCATTTAAAAACCGTATATAAGTATTGTACAGGCGTGCATGTGTAGACTCGGGGCACTATGATGAACATCTTGGACACTACGTAATGCTGCTAACTGTTTCAAAAAGAAAACTTTCCTATCCACTTGCGTGCTTGAATATGTTTTATCTCCTTATTTATAATATGTCAGGCTCATAGAAGTCTCATGACTAGCGAGTCAACTGCAACTGAAATGGACTCTAAGCGTCAGTTAATCTGATGAACTTGAGCCCCAGTAATAAGTGGGTTTCTGGGCTTGTACCGAGAAACTGCCTACGAGGTAGTAAGATTACATTTTTCATTACATTACATTTTTCGTGAAAATCCAGTAATCACAAACTTGGTAGCTTCGCATAATAACGTAGTATAGAGAAATTAATGTAATGCCGCGGCAAAAACGACCATTTTTCGTCAGAAAAACTCGAATTCTTGGGCCCTGATATCTAAAAAATGGATAAATATTGTTCGATATACAGTAAATCACTCGCTGTGTAGTCAGAATGCACGTTTTGTGGGTCCCTGGTACCGAAAAATTGGTTGATGGCAAAAGCATGTCTGTCTCTATCCGTTTGTCAGTGCTAGCGCGTAAACTGTCCAGAAGATTTTCTGCAAAATCGGTATTTCCCGATCGATCTGGACGGACTTCAGGTCCTGCGAGCTCGAAACGAGTATTTTGCATTTTTAGGCGTTACATGAAGCTTAACATTTTCAAACATGAAATAAGGTCATGTTCAATTTTTAGAAAAGGAATAGTTTTTGAATAATTTTGCGTGAAACATAGGCAATTTTGAAATATTTGAAAACAATTATTTTACCAAAAACGGCTCAAAATTGTTTAGAAGATAATGAAGGACACGGATACCTCCTGGAAATAGGGGGCATTTATTTTCAAAAAAAATCTTAACAGGGGCTCCAATTTTTTAATTTAAATTATACCCTTAGAAGAAGCAACCCGTAATAATGGCATCTTATTTTCGTCAAATTCTCCGAAATTCGAAAATTGCAAAAGTTACTCGTAATGCGAGAAAGTATATACTGTGGTACCACTAGTTTAATTAACATTTTTCTAAATAAAGAATCAAATAAGAAAATCTGTATTTGAAAATTTTATTTTTTGAAATTATTTAACTGTAGTAATCTCTTAAAATGTTGAAATTATAAAGAACTCCAACAGCATATGGTGCGTACTGCGACAATTATAGTTGCTGGAGATATACTATATCATGTCCCAATTTTACAGTAACTCGTAGAAAGTCTTGAACTGGATCTGCTAATTGGGAATTTATAAAAACAATTTTTGTTTCAGGACTGACTGGAAATATTTTTTCCCGTATACCAATATCTTGTGGCTTGAATATTTGCTGGATATTCTTCTTAGAGCGGATTATTTATGTCCAGAATTTTCAGAGAATTTAAGAAGCTTGTTTTATATGCAACGTATACGGAATACAATAAGAAGTTGTACGAGTGCATCAGACCTGGTTATATCTTCAGACATCTTCTCTAATTTTCCCTAACGTTTTTGTGATCTCGATGAATTGTGTAATTATAGCTCGTGTATTTTATTGCACTTCTGCTTTCCTTTTGTTTATAGGATTATTCCTTAAGATCAGTTATGATTTTATTTTCTCTATGGTGACATTCTTATACATTTTACTTTCCAGAACACGAAAAAGTTCGGTGAAGTTTTAAATTTTTATTAGAATTGATATTAATTTAAACACAAATTGCTTTAAGAACATCCTTTCAACACTTATTTATTATGAAACAAAGTGATGGGGTAATGGTCATTGCAAGTACCTGATTGCGAATGAAACAATCACATACTTGACTAATTATTCTTTCATATGCAATAAAATAATCCAACCGCCAATCAGTGTTGCGAGAACGAGCTCCTCGCATAAGTGTCGAAAAAGTACCAGACTCCTCAGGACAAAAGTGAAAAATGTATAAATAAAACCTTGAGCAAGAAGTGCAATCATTCCGTTTGTCACTCCCTGCGTGAAACCTGCATTCTTTGTATTTGTTTTAGGATTAACTACGTCAATCTCGTTTTGAGACATATTATTACAAATTATTGCTGGTTTCAGAGTGTCTAAATCCTTCAGGTATTGTGAAAAGGCAGCATTCCAAGAGAGACGTTTTGATAAATTCAGAAGACCTTTCCCAGCATTCAGAACATATTGTCACGCTCACCTCTCTCTCTCTAATAATTTACCGTAGTGGTATGCACCGAATGGCTCTCGACTTCTGCTGGTTACCTGCGAGTGATTAAAGGAGGATGGACGTTGTTGCAGAGAAATGAAAGTTATTCAGTGAAACAATTTCTCTGATTTAATGTCTTAATAAAAAACAAGAAAATAATTTGAATAAGCTCACCCCCCAAATATTCTAATTAGATTACAATAATTCTTTAAAAAATATAGTTACATTAAAAGATTAAGAGTTATTCGTTCTCGCCAGTACCGAGATTTTCCATTCCTATTACATGTAATTTCTCTAAAAGTCTGTTAATAAGTTTTGCCTGAAGGGCTGAAACGTAACCTTTCCAGGTTCGACTCATGACATCACCCGTTTGTTGTCCTCGATGTTGTTGACCTGGCCCACTGTTCCGGCCTTTCTCGAGACGGGCAGGTCGTTTGGCCAATGATCAGGTGTGTTCTTTAGATTTCAGAGCGATCTAGAACTTTCTGGAAGAAAAGGGTGGGCAGAGCAGAGGTGGAGAGGAGATTCTCTACCGGTTGCACCAGGAGACGTCTCGGTGGTCTGTCGTATTAAACCATTTACTTTAGTGTTCCTAGCGTCATGATGACAGTGGCGATAGGAATATACTAAAATTTTCCAATTGTATTCTCATAGGCGACGCCAAAAGAAAGAAATAGTACAAATATGATGTCGAACACAATTTAGGCCAACAGCGACGCAAATAATATGCACGACTTTCTAGACAAGAAAAAAGTCCATCTTACAATGTATATCGTGTAAGATACTGCCACTTCTCTCATGGTTTTATCCTTCGAGATGAATTTCCTCCCATCAGCGATTCCTGCAGAACAGTTCTTTCTGTGGAACACGACCTGCATTGTACGAAATTTGTTGGCAGCCGATGAAGACATGGTCTGGGCACAAATCTAGAGGATATGCTCGTCTATGACGATTCCGCGCTCTCAAAACTTTTTGTTCTTTGAGAGAAAGCGGAATGTATAATATTACATGAGATATAAGAATAATATGATGGCTTGTATATTACAAAAAATCGATTTCCAGTGAAGTTCTAAAAATTCAAACCGACATTGAATTTGTGACAATTAAAATTAATTCAAATATCCCCATATGTATCGAAAATGTTTATATCCCTAATAGATACCCACTATAAGAAATCGAAATGCGTGATATTATAAATCAGATAAAAGAGCCCTTCATAATTCTTGGGGACTTTTAACTGCCATCACTCCTTATGGGGATCGTACAAAATTAATAAGTGGCAGACTATTGGAAAAAGTATTTGATGACCATGGCAGCATCATCAACTCTGGCGATCCGACACATATTAATATCAATAACAGCAGACTAAGTGCGATTGATCTTTCAATAGCATCTTCCACAATATCACAGAAATGTAAATATAATGTTATGGATTTCCTCTATGATAGTGATCATTTTCCAATACTGATTGATATCCATGAACCAAATGGGTCCATTAATCATGATGCATCAGTGCAACTCAATTCCTGATTATAAGAACATTAATTAACTGTAATACCAGAAAAAATCGATGAGCACCTCAATGAAGAAGATATATTCAAGGACGATGATAATATTGACCAGATAGTAAAATAATTCTGCAACATTATGTCCAACAGTAACACCTACGAACCATGGCTCTTTTAAGTTCAACAGCGTTCCCAGGTGGAATTCTGAATGCAAAGTCGCTATTAGAATCGCTAAACAAGCATTTAACCGGTATAAAAAGAAGAGAAATGATATTCGAATCAACTATACGAGAACTAGAGCTATTGCTCCCAGAACTGTAAAAATTAACAAGGCTAGATCATGGAGCGAATATATTTCCTCAATCAACAGCCAATCGAACTCAACTGTGATGTGGAAAAAAATCAAACCCATACCTGGTATTAAGAAGAAAAATATTGTACACTTCCTGCGTTTCAATGGCCAGATAATTAGCGACCCCAAAATTATTGCTGAGGAATTTGACGAAACCTTCATGAAAAATGCCAGCACTTCCAATTATCATACGTAATTCATCACATGTAAAGAAAAAAAAGCTGGAAGTGAACCAAATATGGCACCTATTGATAATGACATGAATTCTCCAATTTTCATGCATGAACTACAAGTTTTAAAAAAGATCAACAACCTATCTCCTTGCCGATATAATATTCCCAACTGCCTATTTAAAAATCTCCCAAAAAGTGATACTGAAATTTTATTAAAAATGTATAACCGTATATAGCTAAATAATGTATTTCCTCAACTCTGGAAAACTGCCACAGTCATTCCAATTCCCAAGCTTGGCAAAGACCAGTCAAATAGCTATAATTACCGACCAATTTCACTGACTTGCAACATAGGCAAAATATTAGAAAAACAATTAATAAGAGAATGAGTTTCTAGAATCTCTACATTTAATAAAAGACCAATTTGGTTTTAGAACTGGACACTCCACCAACTCTTATCTCAGCAGGACAACGATAATCCATGAAGCCTTTCTTGACGGACAGCATGTTATCTTAGTAAATCGAGACATTGAAAAAGCATACGATATGGTATGGAAACAACTGCTAAATTGCTTAGTGTTGGTATCAAGGGCAATATGTTTGTTTCTTACCAACTTTATTAGCAATAGAAGTATTCGAGTAAGTATAAGTAACATTTATCAACAATTAAGAAACTTAATAATGGGCTACCGCAAGGATCGGTGCTCAGTGTGACTATTTGGACCTTTTATTTGACCACAGGCTCACATGGCAAGAACATATTTCTAAAACATACGCTAAAAGCAAAAAATGACAACATCCTAATGTGTCTTCATCACAACAACTGGGGATCAGACACAAAGCCTTAATAACAAGTAAAATATATTACGGATGTATATAATTGAGCATGCAATTCAACTCTCAAAAAACTGGATATCTTGCACAATTGCGGACACAGAATAAGCATTGGTTGCTTTCACTCAAGTCCGGCTGGTAGTATCCTACGAATCGTAGTATCCTATCGAAGCGACTGAAACTAACCTAACTTCTTTTACCTAATCATCCGTATCAAATTCTTATGACTGTAATACATAATAATTAAACTAAAAAAAGAAGGTATTTGATTTCCAAGGATATAAGGTAAGACCTAACCCTGGATATTCCAAGTAAGATGTCATAAGATTCATATACAGGAAGAAGATGCAATGGGAAACGACATAGCGTTGTCATAAAATTAGTAATACCCACAAATCAATTGATTTATTCCTACACTCAACTCGGACTCCAAGATAACTAGACGCGCACACATTTTAATTACACGAATTAGAACTGATCATCCTGAAAGTACACACAAGTACTTGCTGGAGAATACCTCACAACCACTATGTGACATGAGTCAAGTAAAACTGTCAGTCGAACATTTTATGTCTTGTCGCAAATATGAACATATTATAACTATGTATTTTGATCCACACGACATAAAGAAAACCCTGTACTCTGCTCCCTTTCAGTATCAGATTGTCAAATTTTGCAAATAAAAAGAAACAATAAATGTAATGCTTGAAATATAATAAGCCTGCTCGTATCTCTCGAGCTGATGTGTTACGATCCTACCCCGATGATATTGTATGATTATGTTACGAGTATGTAAGATAAATATGTTATGATCTGATGATACTGTATGCTGATGCTTACTTACTGTAAGTAAGTAAGATAAATCATATGTGATGCTGTATTATATTATGACCTACGCATTAAGATACTCATGTTAATGTAATGACGGGTGAAATCAATTGTCTGTAAACACCTGTTATAAAAATTTGTAGACGCTAATAACCTTAGTCGTTGATGCGACTAAAAGTAAAAGAAAAAAGAACAATGTTTTGTTTCTTCGCCCCTTTCCAGCCAGTCCCAAGTTTTATGGTAAGTTTCTCGCTTCATCATCTTTTCCTTTTGCCTCATCTACTTGTTTATTTTATGCGGAATTAAACCTTTTTAGTTTACATACATGATTTTAATCAGCGGGTAAGTTGCGTCCGCAACATGTTTACTAAAGCTATCCAATTTAAAAAATACTTTTACATGGTCACCCATGACCTCAGTAGTTCAAGCATCCTTAACACGTCAATCATTCTGTCCGAGACTAGTGTTTTTGACATTAAAAAAAGTGGAAGCATTCAAAAAATATTAATTGTTTTAAATCCTTAATATAATTTTCCATATAATATTCCAGTTTTTCTCATCAGGAGTATATTAAAAACAAGTTTATAGATTTCCTTTGGCACCATTGGCGTACAACATTATAAGCCTTTTAAACTGTAGTGACACAATAAGGCGGCGAGCGCAATCGTTCGGTTTCAAAAAGAGTCGTTCATTGCCAGTCTAGTATT